ACCCACAAGCTGCACCTAAACTGAGTTGTGCTACGCTGGAGGCCCCACACTGGAGCAGTGTTGATGTGCTCAAGCCTCCCATAATGGCCGCTAGGGCATCAGGGTCGATGGGCCGAGAGGACGAGACCCAAGGGGTGACCTGTGTGAGCGGGGGATTCCGAGTACAATCCTGAGTTCCCTACAAACACAGAGGGTGCAGGAAGGGGCTGAGTAAGCTTATCTCTCCTGACCTGGTGGGAGGGAGTTGCACTGACACTCCTTGTGGGGGTGGAGTGTCATATGGGGTATAGGAGCGCGTAGACTTTGGAAGGACACTCACAATACACAGCGGAACTAGGACATCAGGAACATCTTCTCCCCCTCGGCTATAAGCCTTTGATGCATGTCTAGACATATCACCAATGTATGCAGAAGAAATTTTTCTGCCTGTGTCAGGTCTTGCAGGTATTCTGCAATGCTATCACAATGCTCAGCACTATTTGCCAGTGGATCTTCACAGGGTTTGCAGGGTTTGCAGATCTTCACAGAGTCACTGAGAATTCTTTGAGAGAAAATAGAGTCCAAGCCAAGGGGAATCTGGATTGTGCTGGCCACAAGGGCATAGGTATTTACAGGAAACGTGGAAGCATCTAGTATCAAATCACTGTATACTATACATTGAAATTGGTACCTGATTAATTGAATGATATGCGGCAATGTTAGGTTTCAACCTCTAACTGGCACACAAGTCAGTCTCAACTCTCTACAGCACAACCCTTAACAAATGTTTATAGTAATAGGCCAAAGATGATTGTATAGTGTACATCAGGGTTGATACTTGATTGATTGAAGAATATGTGTTCACTGTTAGTTTTTGATATTCAACCCTTAGCTGTAAAGTGATAGGTCATAAATGATTGTATACTGCACATTAAGATTGATTCTTGATTGATTGAATAATAGATATTAGGTCCCAGTCTTTGACTGGTCCATAACTGGTTATTATTAGTCATTACATATAAGTTGCACGATGCTGGCGCATTTTGTGCAACACATGGAGGAGGCAACGGGGACACTGTTTGATGAAATAGAACAATATGTCCAGTGTGTGTATCTGCCTTCTGCACATGCCATGGCATGATGCAATTGCAGTGCCATCCTAGACTTAGTACTCACTGTGTTTTGTCACAGGTGTCTTGCACATATTATCAATCTTGCCACACAAGCCGTTCTTGACGTGTACAGCAAAAACCCCCACTATGACCCTTATGCTCCGGACATTGAGCTCGTCAATTGGCATGGTGCAAGGTGGGATGTGATTGGTCTTGTGCAGTGCATCAGTGTCAAGTGTTGGAGTTTGAGGGTGTCACGGGCAAGCCGTGCATGAGCTTGCAACAAGGTGGTTAGGGGTGCGCAGCACGCAATTGTGTTCATCTTGAAGGCTCCTGTCTTGTTCAATTTTATTTGTTTTATGCTGATTCATGGCGGCGCATCCACATCTTGCAGATCTGTGATCTACAATAGGTTCTTGTTACATGTACTAAACTTATACGTGCCATCGCGCATGAGCTCACCCCAGTCCTGCAAATACAGACTGAGGTGAGTATTACCACATGACTTCTTACTTGACTAGCTTACTGATTAGCATCGTAGTTTATTGCTCCATAGGCGCATAGCTTGTATTACTAGTCCTGTGAATACAGACTGAGTTTATCGCTCTATATCAAGGTAAGCTGTTCATCTCTGTTTTTACACGTGTGCTGATATATGCACCTTGTAGGAATGTTCATCGGCAAAGCAAAAAGAGCTGTTCAAGCAACTGCAACTTTGTAACGATAAGAAGAAGGTGTATCAACTCCTCCTTGACAGTCCCACATGGTGGTCGTCAATGTACATGATGTTGGATTGAGCAGAGCAGCTCAAGGACGTATGTGGCCGCAGTGTACATCTGTTACCCTTCGTTTTCCTAGTTGACAAGTTGTTCATATGTACGCGCTCGTCGACTGCGGTGCAACCACTTCTTGTATTTCCTTTGATTTTGCAAATCGACATTCCCTGCCTCGCCGTCTCAAGGACGTGCCCATACCCATTACCGCTGTCGACGAGCGCCCAATTGCCTCAGGGCTTGTCACCCATGATGTACTGACTTCACTCTCCGTCCAAAACCACTCCGAAAACATCACCCTCGGTGTTGTCTCCGTTCCGTTCCCCATCATTCTAGGTCTTGACTGGCTGCAACACCACAACCCGGTCATTGACTGGGCACGCAACCGGCTCGCTCTTTCGTGCTGCGGCGCGAATCCCTCATATCCTGTCTCTGCACTGGGCAAAGGCTTTGGTCTTACCCAGGTCGCCCCCTCCGTCCTGTCTACGCACTCTGTCTCTGCCACTTTGGTCAGTTTAGGCCTCGGTCTATGCAGCCACACTCTCGTTCCCTCGTTATCGGACACTGTTGACCGCTCTCTGCATCGAAGTGTGCCCGCCACATCCCGACACTCCCCGTACCTGTCCACATTCTCGACCTCACCCCTCGCTTCTCATGTTGGGCCCAGCATTGGCTTCGGTCAAACTGCGGCACCGCCCTCCTCCGTTCCTTCGCTCTTCGCTCGTTTCCTCCCCTCATTCGCTCCCTCATCGTCGTCCTCGCCTCCGCCAGCACTAAATGTCTCATTTGTCAACTCCGCACGCTTCCGCAAGTATGCGAAGTCCGGCAATTGCGTGCTGCTTCGCTATCACCCGAAGGGCACCCGCAGCTACAACATTGCCTCGCTTGCAATGGACCCTGTGCTGCCCTCGACTTCCTCACCTCCATCCACGCCTGCTCCAGCATCACCTCCACCCGAGCCTCCGCCATCGTTGTTGGCAGATGACAAGCTCCTCTCATCCATCCCTGACAAGTACCACGACTTCACCTCCGTCTTCTCTCCCGTCGAGGCCGAGACACTTCCGCCACACCGCCCCTCAGTTGACATGTCCATCGAGACTGAGGACGGCAAGTCTCCGCCCTTCGGTCCGATGTACCATCTCTCACAGCAAGAGTGTGAAGTTCTATTTGACTACATCGAGTTGAACCTCAAGAAGGGCTTCATATGCCACTCGACATCCTCCGCCGGTGCCCCCATCCTCTTTGTCAAGAAGAAGACTGGTGAGCTTCGCCTCTGCGTCGACTATCGTGGTTTGAACTCAATCACAAAGAAGAACCGCTATCCCATCCCTCTCGTTGATGACCTCCTCGACAGTGTACGTGGATGCTCCATCTTCACAGTCCTCGACTTGAAGAATGCGTTCAACCTCATCTGCATCCGTGACGGTGACGAGTGGAAGACTGCCTTCCGCACGCACCTCGGTCTCTTTGAGTACACCGTCATGCCTTTCAGACTCACTAATGCTCCCACCACTTTTCAGGCCTTTATTCAGGAGACACTCCATGATCTCCTCGACGTGATTTGCATTGTCTATCTTGACGATATACTTATATTTTCTTGTTCGCAGGAAGAGCACAACAAACACGTCCGTCTCAAGCGCCTTTGTCAGGCTGGCCTCTACGCCAATGCCAAGAAGTGCGAGTTCAACAAGTCGGAGGTCGAGTACCTCAGCTACTTGCTGGGTGTTGATGGCATCAAGATGCACCCACGCAAGCTCAACACGTTTGCGGAATGGCCTCTTCCGCGCTCGGTTAAGGATATCCAATCTTTCCTTGGGTTTACTAATTTCTATCGTCGTTTTATAGATGGATATGCGAAGATTGTTGTCCCGCTCAACGCACTCATGCGCAAGGATGCAGTCGAGCTGCCATTTGCGCTCACACCTGCGGCTGTTGAAGTGTTTTACACGCTGAAACGCGCCTTCACATCCTCACCTTTGCTTCGCCACTTCGACCCTTCGCTCCCTTCCACATTACGCACTGATGCTTCAGATTTTGCCATTGCAGGTGTCCTCCATCAGCTGGACGCGCAGGGTTTCCTTCACCCTGTCGCATATTTTTCACTCAAGCTCACGCCGGCCAAAATCAACTACAATGTCTACAACAAAGAGCTCCTCACCATCGTGGAGTCTTTCCGTGACATGCGTGGATGGACGATCGGCACTGCAACGCCCGTTTCGGTCATCTCAGACCACAAAAATCTTGAGTATTCCATGTCTTCTCGTGTTCTCAATCAGCACCAGGCGCACTGGTCTATGTTCCTTTTGGAGTTGAATTTTCGTTTGGACTACGCTCCCGGGCTTAAAAACCCTGCTGATGCGCCCTCGAGGCGGCCCGATTTCACGCCTCGAGAAGGGGATGACGTCCTACGCCTCCAAGAACAAATTCTACTCACTCCTTTGTGCACAGAACATCTCTACCCTTCAAGCCAAGGCGCTTGTCGCCTGCTCGCCCTTCAATGTCGCCAACCACCATCGCATCCCTGACCACTCTTGCCGTCGACAACTTGGAGATGCTCAAGCGCTTTCAAGATGTGTACCAAGCAGACACCGAGTGGCGAGAGGCGCTCACGCGTGGCGACACTGACTTCACGCAGGAAGGCAATCTTGTCTTCCACAAAGGTCTCCTCTTTGTACCTGCGTCCCTTCATGCTGATATTGTGTGCATGCGCCACAACTCTCTCGTTGCAGGTCACCCTGGGCGTGTTCACACACTCGGGCTCGTCTGCCGTGACTTCTCGTGGCCGGGCATGCAGACTTTCATTCACCGCTACATCCAAGCGTGCGATGTTTGCACTCGCATCAAGACACCGCGTCACAAGCCATACGGACTTCTCCATCCACTTGACATCCCTTCGCGGCCATGGAGATCCATCACCATGGACTTCATTGTCAAGCTGCCGCCTTCGCATGGCTACAACTCGATCTGGGTCGTGTGCGACCGCCTCACCCGTGCTGCCCACTTCATTCCATGCAACGAGACCATTGACGCACCGGGCCTAGCATGGCTATTCCTCAACCGCATCTTCCGACACCACGGACTGCCCGACTCGATCATGTCGGACCATGGTTCGGTCTTTGTATCTCAATTCTGGAAAGAACTGACTTCTTTGCTTTAGATCAAGCTCGATATGTCGACTGCGTATCACCCACAGACGGACGGTCTCACTGAGCGTACCAACCAGATGCTCAAGACGTACCTCCAGGTGTACGCATCCTATCAGCAAGATGATTGGGTTGACTATCTCCCGCTCGCTGAGTTTGCGTTCAACAACAACGTGAACTTGTTCAACCAAGCAAACACCGTTCTTCGCCAACTGCGGCTTCTACCAGACCTTCAAGCTGCAGCTCACCGAGTGCACGTCCGTACCTGCCACCACCAACTTAGCCACGCGTTTGGAACATCTTCACGACAAACTCCACGCTGAGCTCAAGGACGCTCAAGAACGCCAGGCTCGCTACTTCAACAAGCGTGCTGCTGACTCACCCAAGTACGCTCGTGACCAACTCGTGTGGTTGCTTCACCGCAACATCAAGACGACACATCTGTCCGGCAAACTCGACCACCACCGACTCGGTCCATTCCCCATCGAGTGTGCCATCTCTGACCATGCCTACCAACTTCGCCTTCCCCGTACCTCTCCCATCTTCACCCTGTCTTTCACGTCTCTCTTCTCGAACCTTATTCCGACCCTTCCAAATTTCATGCCCATGCATCTCCCAATCCTTTCTCACTTCCCGAAGATCCTTCCAGGAAGGATCTTCGGGAGAAATATGACATTAACCATGCTCTATATTATATAAAAACTGATCTGTTAAATCAATGATAGGATAATCACTCTATATAAGCTAAACATAGCTGAACATGGCCAAACATAGCCACAGAAGTACTCCACAGGCAGTGAGGAAATTCTTGACCATGGGATCATAGTCTGTACAAAGGGTGTTAGAGCTCTTCTACATGGCTTGATCAGAGATATAATCATACTAGATGTGCTACACATTGACTCATTACATTTGTAGACCTCAGAGTACTGTTTTTAATGGAGATGACCTGTTAACCTGTGACATGACCTGTGGGTAAGGCTCTTTCCTGACTTGACCCGCAGTGACCCAGACCCGGACCCGTGGATCCAAATCTTTTAGTGATCCGACTCATGCAAATCTGGGTCAAGCCTTTTGAAATGCCTTGACCCATGGGTAAGGATCTGGGTCACCCGTGGGTTGATCCATGGCCAGCCTTATCCTTCCCTTCCATCTCCCAAGTCCTCGACTCCCACAAACTCGGCCAGCGCTACGAGTACTTCATGCGTTGGTCGGGTCGTTCCCCCGACAAAGACTCTTGGGTTCCGCTCTCCGATCTTTCCCTTTCTCCCGCAGTCAACGAACTCGTTGACCGCTTCCACCACTGTCACCCACGCGCTCCGCACCCACACCAGCTTGTGTTTGAGCGCACCGTGCCAGTGCCCGCAGATTCTATTGACACTCCTTCTTCTACTTTACAGGCCTCCGCACCGCCGTCCGCACCGTCCGCCCCACTCGCTCTGCCCGTCCTGCCCGTGTCGTCCGTCGCCGTCCCGCCACCCGCGTCCTCCATGCCCGCACCCGTCCCACCGCTGCCCGCGTCCTCCGTGCCCGCTCCTGCCCGTCGTCCCGCTGCGGTCCCGCTCGCTACCCCGCGCCCGTCGTCCCCGCCGCCGGCGCCTCGCGTGAACCTGCGCCAGGCGTACGTGCCCCCGCCGCAGACCACAACTCGCTCTGGTCATGTGTCGAAGCCTGCTTGTCGTCCCGACGAGTAGGGAATGGCAAGGGTGCGGCGGGTTTTCACGGGTTTTCACAGGTTAGGCGCCCGGGTACAGGTGCGGGTCCACATAAGGGCACCCGCGCCGTACCCGCCACCCGGCTACAAAATATGGAAGGCATAGCACATCCACGGGCAGGCAGAGGCTGGGGCTTCGGACATACAATTCTCAACCACATCATTGCCGGATACGGTAGTGCTGCACAGTTTCTCTTGGGCCTCCCGCTCTGAGTCTAAATGACAGGCAATCTAAATTTATTTCCCGCTCTATTCGCTCATGAGCTACCCGCCTACATCCCCGAACATCTGCACTTGTGACTACATGACCAAGGCAAGCACCAGCAAGCGATCGCAGGCGCGCAAAAGTACTAGCCCGCCGCCGCCGCCTGCGAAAAAAAACAAAGCAACACCCGCGAAGGCCACGTCCGCTTCGACAAGCACCAGCACCTCGCAACAGTCGCGCGGCGCGCGCAAGCCCGTTGATACATCCAGCAAAAAAAGTGCGCGCGGTACAACTAGCGACAAAGCGATACATGTGGACGACAACTCGAGTTCTGAGGGAAGCGGGGACGACGAGGATGCGAACGATGCCGGCATTGATGCTGACATACTAGTAGAGGCCACTGATGAGGACGATGAGGTGGTTTTGGGTGAGTAGATGTCAGTATGATGGTCGGTGCATGCCACTGATGAGCTCGTCACAGAGCGGCTGAAGAAAAGGTGGAACTCACCAATGTACGCGTTCTTCCATGAGCCCACCATCGAATATGTTGGCCCAACAGCTCGCCGTGCGCTAACGTTCAAGTGCGCGGCGCGCGGCTGTGGCGTCTCGGTGAACCGATTCCTCGACAAGAAGGACCAGGCGTCCACCAGCAACTTGCAATGCCACATGAAGTGCTGCTGGGGGCATGACACGGTGCGCGAGGCCAAGAATGCGAAGAACGTTGATGAAGTCCGTGATAAGATCGTTGGATCACTCCTGCGCGATGGGTCAATCACCGAGGCATTTGAGCGCAAGACGGGCATGGTCACTTACAGCCATCGTGCCCATACCCGTGTCGAGGCACGCACAGAGTTCATCCGGTGGGTTGCTGAGAGCCTACGTCCATTCAAGATTGTCAAAGATCGCGCGCTGCTGTTGTTGCTGAAGACGGGCCGCCCCGGGTACTTTGTGCCATCGCCATCGACAGTATCGCGCGATTTGAAGGTTGTCTTCGCGCGAACGCACAATCGCATCGCGAAGGTTCTGCAGGTAGAGAGCACTATCAGCGATGTTCTCACAGAGCGATCACATGCTTACCGTAGTCTCAGGAGTATGAAGGCAACCTTCACTTCGCATCGGACGAGTCGTCGGCGCCAAACCACCGTGCATTCATGGCGATAACGGTCCATTTTGTGGTCGATGGCAAGCCTGTGTGCCTGCTCCTCGACTTCATCGAGGTTGCGTGGACGCATAGCGGTGTGAACTTGGCAAGTGCGTTCGCTGGGGTGCTGAAAGAGTTTGGCATCGCAGAGAAGGTGAGATAACGTCCATACGACACAAGCAGTCAGTACTCACCATTGTCGATCTCGCAGATGATGGGGATCACTTGCGACAATGCTTCGAATAACGATACAATGGTCGAGAAGTTGATGGACTTGCTGCCAGGCTTCCCCGGCGACTTGTACTGTGTGCGCTGCTTCGCGCATGTGCTTAACCTGGTTGCAAAGTCGCTGATCAAGCACTTTGATGTTCGCAACAAGCGAGACCCTGCGACGGCCGATGGAGATGAGCGGGAGCTGTTGGAGCTCGTGCAGGAGATGGAGAGCGAGGAGATCACAACCCAGGCAGAGATGGCCGCTGGCGATGGTGAAGAAGACGAGTCAGACAATGCTGATGACGAGGTAGATGGGATGGCAGAGCTTACGGACGAGGAGCGGGCGCAGTTCGAGCGTGAGGTCCTTCCTGTGAAGCTCACAATGGCCAAGGTGAGTTCTCCTCGCGATACACACATACACTCACTAATGGTTCCGCAACCTGCAGCTCCGAAAGCTCGCCTTCAAAATCGTGCACTCAACAACGAAACTGTTGCCCGTGTGGAAGGAGCTCTTGGCGGAGCTGGGGCAACCGGTCGTGTTGATCCCTCGAGACGTCCGGACGCGGTGGAATTCGACGTTTGACATGCTGGACAGTTGCCTGAAGCACCAGAAAGCCCTCACCCAGCTGTGTAGCGACAAGAGTAACGGGCTGCGCAGCTTTGAGGTATCGGAGAGAGAGTGGGAGATTGCGAGGCAGCTGCATAACATACTTAAGGTTCGTAGCCACGTCGCCTCTGAACCTTGTTTCCTGAAAAGGGCATGTACTGACGCGCACCTACTCTCCCTCGTTGGCACCCTCACCGTACTCGTGCTTGTACTGCTAGGTCTTCAAGGATGCTACGACCTTCTTTTCTAAGCAAACACCCAACCTCGCCTCTGTTATCCCCGCCATGGACCACATTGATGCTCATCTCACGACAGCATCTCACGACGAGCAGGCCTTCGACTCCGCCCTCCGCATATCTGCCGGCTTGGCCCAGCGCACGTTAAACAAGTACTATTCCTTTACCGACGACTCGACTACGTACCGCATCGCTATGAGTAAGTCCCTTTCGCTCTCTTGCTCGGGTCATTGTCCACGCACGGACGTGCTCACTGCGCGTTTCCTCTGCCGCGAGCGCGTGAATCATTGTGCACGACGTGCGTCGTCCGCAATGCGCGCATTGCAGACAATCCGCTCATTGTGTGCGCTGAACGTCTGGTATCCCGCCTTGGATCTCCCTCGTCCCGCGCTGTCGTGCTCGTTGGGGATTGGGTGTGAGCGTGTTTTATTTGATTTTATAGTGGTCGACATCAAAGACAGAAATTTGTTTTGTTGTCGAGGGTTGAAAGGGGCTCTTCAATCCTGAAGGCGCGAGCGTGCCGCAAAGCGTGTGGGGTTTCCTACTTTTCCAACAGAGGCTTCGCCGAGTTCGTTCCACTCTACGGACTTGGATAGTCCTGAAGATCTATGCACAAATCTCCCGGTATTGATGCCTGCGGGTATTAGTACTGATTGAGGGCTCTTTGTAAGCTCCTCCTGGTCTGTCTGTTTAATTGAGGGCTCTACTTGAGCTCCTCCTGATACTTTCTGATGCTACTAGACTTTTCTAGAGCCTTCTCTGTCGTTCCGTATCTGCTATACGAATTTTGGCAGAGCTTCGCCTTATCGCTGGCGGCCTGTGTCTGACTTGTCTTACTGCTGCGGATCCAGGGCTCTGCCTGCTGATCCTATCCTTACCTATGCTTACTTACTCTCTCTGACTAAGCTACCTGCAATGTTCCTTACCCCTTGGGTTTGGTGAGATTGCCTTATGGTACTTAGGGACTAAACAAAGTGCCTGCTGCTGTGTGCTGGGAACTGAAGATTGTTGATTGTCCTGGGCTCCTCCCTCAGGCCGGTATTTATACCTTTCTGAAGGGGCGCTGACTAAGCGAATTACAAATAACTATCCTACATTCTACATACTTTGGGGAACCTTTAAGAACCTTCTAGGACCTTCCAGCATGTTCCCTTTTCCTTTCTTAGTAGTCTGGGGCACTTTCTTTTGGGGTTGCGGAATGTTCCAGACTATTCCGTGACTTTCCCCAAGGTTCTAGCTCCCCAACGGATTGTAGTCTATCCCCAACGGAGGTGCCAGTGTGGTATGGAACCTCCCAGAATTATCCTAAGGGTTCTAGAATATTCCGGAACTTACCAGAACGTCCTAGCACAATTTTTACTGCATTCTGCTGTCTTTATGGTATAGAGGTCTCCAGGATATTCCGGATGTTTCTGGAACCTTCCTCAAGGACTCTGGGAACTTTGGGGCATTGGGGTGGGGCAAACCTGTTGGGGTTTGGGGTAACCTGGCCAAGCTGTGGGGTAGCATCTTTGGGGCTTCCCCAAGCTAGTAATGTCTTTTTGACTAAGCAAGACTTGTATGAGGAAATACTGATTAGTCATCCTCTGGCGTGCTACACCTTATGACAGAGTGGAATGTCCGGCTAGTCTGGTGATAGTGCCTTGGTGGCTATTGCATGACCAAGTACCAATCCAATTTGGTGCTTGACAGCGCGGGTGTGCTGCACGCCGGAGCCATGCTGCTCTAAGTTTTTACTTACTCATATCCCTACCTGCAGTTCTCCACCCTCGCCACAAGCTCTCCTACTTCAAGAAGATGAAGTGGAGGCATGACTGGATCACAAATGCGCGCAACATCATTAGGACAGAGTATGAAAAATGGTACGCCAATCATATTCCGCGTGCGAGGCACGACTCCGGCTCGGACGAAAGCAGCACCGAAGATGCACCTGTGAATGAGAAGGTATGCCGCTGGCATGCCCATATACAATTGGTCGCTAACACAGGACCCCATTCACAGCCGGATATGAACATTTTCGAGGCTCTAGAGCATGAAGACATCGTGGACGATGAAGTCAGCGATGAGCTCACTAGGTATCTAAGTACAGACCCCGAACGTGTGAAGGACGCGCTCGAGTGGTGGAATGATCAACGTGCATCCTTCCCCAACCTCTCGCGAATGGCCCTGGACTACCTCAGTATCCCAGGTATGTCCGGTGTCTGATCCAGCCGCTGCAACACCTAGAACTTCACTGACTTCATCCATAGCTACGTCCGTCGATCCTGAGTGAACGTTCAGCCGCGGTCGCCTTGCTCTACCGCACACCCGCAACCGACTCAGCCCTCAAAGCACGTGCGCACTGATGTGCGCAGGCAACTGGAGTCTCACCAGCTTCATTCACCAGTCGGACGCGCGCAAGGCCGGTCAGTTGGATGATGTAGAGGGTGATGACTCCGACTTCGAGATGGAAGAGGGCTGGGACAAGATTGATCTGTCTTTGCTCAAGTAGTACTGTACAGTGTTCTGATTCTCTCGCATCTGGTATGTACATGAATATGGCGCCTCGTTGCTCGCACCGCCCGTTCGCGCGCTGCTCTTGCAATGCGAACCCCGCCCCTGCTTCCTTGCACTCCAACGCGAACCCCTACCCCTCCTACCTCGCACTTCCTGTTTGTGCGCTGCTTGTTCGCGTGTTCATGCGCGCCCCTTCGTGCGTGACCCTATGCGTGCATTCTCCTTCGTGCACTTTTGTGCACGGCCCTTCGTGTGTGGCCCTATGCGCGCATTCTCGCGGACCTTCATGCGCTGCTCATACATGTGGCGCCCCAGTGCATGCCCCAACTGTCACGCGGCTTCTGTGCACTACACGGACTTCTGCGCACACCTTGCGAGTAGTTAAATATATTTATTCAGGGTGGAATTGTAGTCCTAAACGTACCCCGACGGCCCTTCTGCGTCGTATGAGGCTTGATATCTACTGGGCGTATCGAAATGGGTTAGTGATCAAAATTGCGAGCAGCGATAAGGCGTACCCCTCGCGATGGCAGACAGTGTCGCTTTTGTAGCTCTAACACTCACGCCTACATCCCCCTACCTCTCCTCGTCTTTCCTCATCGCGCTATGTCCATGACTTCACAGTCTTCTGCCTCTGCACCTCGCCCCGCACACGACACCTCGACAGCGAGCCCGATCCTCAATCAGCAGGATCTGCTTGCCCGGCCACCGTCGCCAACCTCTGGCAACACAACCGACACCTCCGCCAGCACCGGGCCATTGAATGGCGCAAATGACAATGGTGCGCCGGCCGATGCGACCGCTACATCAGAGGGGGAGGAGGCGATGGGCGGAGACAGGCGAGCCGAGCTCCAGCTTGACTGCGAAGAGGCGATCTTGGACATCGCCCCCGACGCGATGCATGTGTACCTCATGATTGAGGGTACGGTTGCGGGGAGGGCTATACCACGCATCAAGGTATGTACAGATATGTCAGTGAGCAGTGAGAGGGCGGGTGGAACTCACTTTTTGCTCGGTCATCCCTCCCACAGATGGCCTTCCCGTCCACTATTGCGCGAGCTCGTGCCCTAAGTCCCCACGCGTGGTATGCGGCCGCTCACGATGCAATCAGTCGGTTTGAGGAGGTGCCGCTCACGGCAGACCAGCACGACACGGTCATGACCGTTTCCTACGTGCACCGCTGGTTCGCCCAGAAGCCCCTCGATGCGGACTACCACAGGGCGTGGGACGAGATGCGCGACTGCTTGCGCACGTCAATCGCGATGGGACGCTACCTCCGGACACCTGGGGAGGACCTCATACAAAACCTTGCCGAGTGGGCGCGCTTCCGCATACCTGTAAGCACACTATTTCCGCGATTTTTTAGGTGCAATTGGAGACCGGAGACTGACCTAATGAGTTCCTAGGATGCCTATCCTCCCGGTGTCAATCTGTTCGGGATGTTTGATCCTTGGGATGGCGAGTCGGATTCCGAGGACGCAGATTTGGAGACTTAGGGTACAGGTGGGCCTGTATGGTGCCAGGGGCATGTAGAATGATATTGCGAGGGTGTAAAGCATGTACTAGTGGGCTAGGTGGTGTATAGATGTACGTAGAGTGCTCGATAGTGCGCGTGCAGGACGACCTGAGCTCAAACCTTGCTGTGACCCGTCACGGGTACCATACCCGTGGTACCCGTGGTACCCGGCGTCTATACCAGCACCCGTGGGTGCACGGGTGCGGGTACTTGGCGGGTACGGGTGCGGGTTGCGTTGACCGCACCCGGGGGTTGACCCGTGCCATTCCCTACCGGCGACGAGTCAGTCTTCGCGCATACTGCGCTCACCCTGAAAAGGGAGGTGGTGTAATGACCACATTACACTACCACGGCCATTCTAGTTAGCAATGGACACTTTATGTACTTCACGGACTCTTACCTTAGCTCACGGCCATTCATAGTGTACTTGTCGAGTTTCGGTTGTGTTCGCGTATGGTACACGGTGTAAGCGCCCACGAGATCCGATCGATACGAGGCGTCGGCGCTTACCGCCGACGCGCACCTCATCCTGTCGCCCGCGCGGTTTGTACCTCTTCGTCGAACCAACACCAGTAATAGCCAGACCTCTCGCTTCTCCTCTATCTCGCCTCGCCTCGTCTCCGCCTCGCCTCCTCGAACGGCTCTGACCGTTACACGTTGTTATCGGGCCCCCCGGCCCGTTACACCGGCGTCCCGGTAACCGGCAAACAAGCGCCTGTAAGCGCCCCTTTGCACCATGAAGCTCTTTTCCACATTCCTTTGAGCCGTCCTCCTCAAATACTGCTCGACGTGCCTTTGCGAGTCGACGTACATTTCGACTTTGTGCAATCTGTTGCTTCGATTTACATATAAATCCTTGTCATGGTACCCTTCGATCGACCCCCATCTTTTCCAAGCTCGCTGCTACTACTTCACCTCGACTGCCAGTCAGGACTCGAAACCCGAAGTCCTCCCTCCATGGCTCGTAATCGTCGCCTCTTCACCATTTGTGGGGCATTCCCTTCTCCAGATGAAGACATCCGAAGGCAGTGGAAGGTGTGTTGCTCTAGTGATCATGCTCGCACGCATCGCTTCATCTCTCTTTCACAGAAGAATCATATCAACAGGCGACGCTTCTCCATACGGGTGTCGCACAATCTGCCACAAAAAGATCACGTAAATACCCACGACTCAACTCACAACGGGTAAGCTCTTTTAGATCGATACGCTGGTACGGACTCACTGGGATGCAAGACCTGGAGCAGATGGCAAAGAGAGGATACCGTTACAAGCTGCCGTTCAAGAATTTGGCCCGAGTTCAAGCACGTGCATCCAACCCGCGTCATTCCTTCGCGCGTATATCGGACAACGGGTCAGCGCGAATCAACAGGAGAACCTGCCAATGGATATCGACGCGCCGGGTGCAGTCCGCTCCTATCGTCCACAGTTTGATGCCCATGATGTGAGTTGCTCTACCAGCGGATAGATCTGCCAGTTAGTTATGGAACGGTCTACGATTTTTGAAGGATCCTACACCACTCTGTCGAGACTCTCCAGACGTTGAAGACTCCGATCGTCGCTCATCCCCCGTTATCGGCACTCTCGTTCAAGCAACATGGCCTGCCACTGAAGAGTCTCCGAAAAACGACACCTCTATCTTGATTCCTCTCGGCTCCGCCACCTGGGGACGCGATCAGACAACGTCGTCTCATCCCCAGGGTATCGGCAATATCGTGTCGACCGTCTTGACTGAGCGCTCCTCCCCTTCCTCCCGGCACTTCGAGGGTCTCCATGCGACTTCCTCTTCCCCACAGAAGAAGGTTCGATTCATTATCGAAAGGCTCACGCCTGCTATGGAGTCCTCTATCGCCCAAAGCCATGAACCGACCATCGACGTGCGAACAAGGCAGCTCGCGTCAAGTGTAAACCCGCGGACAGGTATGTTGTTGCCACAGCGTATAGGGAGTATCTTACGAAAGGACCAACTGCCAGAGAACGCCCACACAGCGGGTTCAACACACATCCACCCCGCTATGAATGATAGCGGCGAGGCCTCCCGGATTGCATCGCGCAGGAATAGCCTTTCAACGGCACAGCTCCCCGCTCAAGGGGCAATGCCGTTGCCAGAGTCCTTGCTACCTCCCGGCGGCGCCATCCATGTTGCTCAGCCGCCCGTGGACCTGTACGGCTCCCCGGCTGCCGGTGCGGGAGATGCCTCTTCAACAGTCCCCAGATGCAGTTGTTCTGCGTCTTCGCCACATCCTGCTCCCGCTGTCGTTCCAGTACGTTGGAGCACCATCCCTCCTCCCGCAGACCTCGCTTCTACGGTAGTCCTTCGCCCGTTTCGTGCGGGAGTGCAGGAGGGACTTACGCGCTGGTATCGGTCCTCCGCTCCTTATTCTCTCACACATCCTCCGACGTTGGACACGAGACCTGGTGACCTGTATCTTCACACCAACGAACTGAGCGGCGATATCCAGCGCTGGCTATGGAACACTTCGTGGAGCATTGCAGACGGGGGTGATCGCCATCCTGCGATTGTAGATCGCTATCTGTGGTTCCGCTCGCCGACGGAACCAAGTTGGGTCACGGAGCATACGCTGCGCACGTATAAGAGCAGACAACGCAAGGACGCTTTGCAGCTCCTGCAGCTCGAGGTGTGTCACGCCGGTTTAATCCTGGCAGCCATCTTATCCTGACTACAACCCCTCCAGTCCACTCCCTTTGCGAGCACATCACGGATATAGCGCAGCCCGCAGCGCAATGTGTATACACATACATGTACTAGCCCTAATTCATATCGCCGTCTACTCCTTCAGACATTTGAGCTGTATTCATGTTCGCATAGCGGAGCATCTGAAGGCAGGTCAGTGATAGTCCCATAACGCTAATCGCTCACATACTCGATCGAGAGGAAGGACGTGGAAGCAAGGCTGAGAGATTGACGGGAATTCGATAGCGGTCTTGGCGACGTGACACAGGATTTGTTCAGGCCGGATGAGTGAGTACCCTGGGGCAAGGGATCTATACACAAGTCGACCTCCGGCGATGGGGAACCTCCGAAAAGTATCCTGCGTCGAGTCGAGCTCGCTCAACTCGTTGTAGTGCGAGATGACGAGGAAGCTTTCCGAAACCCTGTTGTCCGTTGTGGTATTGCGAGTGTGATGGAAGATGTCGATGATACTGCCAGCGCAAGGAGTTGTAGAAGGTCCCGACGGGTTGAACAGTATGTTACTGTCTCTGGAAGACGATCGGGATGTGTGATAGTAGATGCCAGAACATAGAAGCTTTCGTTTGTGCGAAACCGCGCGCGATAGACGGTACACTGCAGACCGCCCTGGCTCGGTGGCGTGGCGAACATACATCTCGCGACCTGCTTCTTCGTTCAGTTTGACTAGCAGAGCGTCGTAGTAGTCCTCGTCGAGATGCGACTGCTTCATCTCGGCCTCATCAGGAGTCATCGCCGCGGCCTTATCGGCGCCTCGGAGGACTGCATCGAGACGCATACCTCGTACGTCTTCTCCGGATATTGTGTCGTAGGAACTGACGAATTCCTCGATGTACGGAAGGATGTCGGCATTATGGAGCAGGGAACGAAGGTTGGCCGCGCGACAACTAGTGCTCATGAAAGTCGCTTCCATCTCCCCTGTATGTCTGCACTGAGCATGAAGTCACCCAATTAACAAAACTCATGGGACTCACCGAACGTCAAATTTGTGTTCATCCTCTGCAGAACATAGTTGAACCTCTCAATCGCAAAGGATCGCCAGGAATGAACCGGCGCAAAAAGACGCATGAAGTGGGGGATATGGAGTGCGTAATGGTGATTGGGTTTGACGGTAGCCTCCTTGTACAGATCCTTCATCGTCGTGAGATAGCGCAACATATACTGTTCGTACATGGTGATGTGCTCTGAAGTGATTTCGAGCAAGCCCGCAAGGATGACAGCGGATACGAGGTCCATGAAGTTGCAGAGCATCTTGAAGTTCCGAGTCTCAGCCTGAGTGTCTGAGCCCCAGACTAGTACGAGGGCGACCGGCAAGACAGCGGTGCACGTCGTATGCCACTGATCAGCGCTCAGTTTTCCATGCTCTGTCGTCCCGAATCCCCGCGGTGCGGGGGTTACCCAACTGGGAAGTTCCATGGATGCCCTGACAGTGCGAAACGACGCCATAGCTTGGCGCCCGAGTGCGTTCCGCGTTCGCGCTTCAGGCTATAACGCGCACACTTCAGTCAGAGACTCATCTTGCAGCAATAGTTCTCACCAGTTTTGAATCTTCTGTTTCCTGGGCCCCCGACGAAGTGGATTTCTGGCATCAGTGAATGAGCGGGCATTGTTCTCCAGGGCCGCCGCTACCTTCTGAACATTGGTACATACCGACTGGGGTTGCGTACGAAGGCTCATCAGACGGGCTGCGAGGTCACGTCTGGACCCTTCTGAGGAGAGTTTAGCTTCGGTACACATATAAACTAATGCTTGCTTATTGTGTTGCTCCATGGTTTTCGCATTTGCCCCGCGCGATAAGCTTGCCTTTGCTCGTTGAATGTATTTCGAAAGCTTCTCAGTTAGTACGAGCTCGGGCTCTTCGCCTATTTGCGGGATCGACGAGAGGTCGGGTACGCGCTGTGATGCGCCCTGATGGCGCGAAGGTTGTACGACGTCGGGCTCGCATGTTGATGGCGATTCTTGTGTGCCGGACGCCGGGGAAAGCTGTAGCCGAGGCTTGTTCAACGGATACGCAATGCCCAACAAACATATACACTGGGACTTACCTGGCTGGAGGCGGGTATGTTCCCTTCGAATGAAGGGGATGGATATCCATGCTTGCGCCGCTGACCAAATACCGTGAGATGGTAGACATATTCGAATTTCTAACTTCCACCTACCCATGTGTCGAGCTCCTTAGCCAACTGCTTCACGCCCCCTGCTCGCCTAAGATCATGATGGTCGCATAGATGCCACAACACAGCCTTCTTGCACTTCTGTAGCTGGCTGAGTGGGGCGTGATATAGAAGGCGGAGACCTCGCGACCAGTCTTCGGCTGGAGGAAACTGTGGCGTCTTCTTTGACGGGTGAGAGGTAGCATCTCCGTCCTCGAGGTCGACGCTGATGCCCCAGATGTCTCGGCAGTGATTCTTGAGTAAACCAAGATAGAGGTTATGCATAGAGTCGACCACGGTGAAGCCAACAGGGTCCCAATAGGGCAGACGAAGAAGTTCAGACCAACGAATCCCGTGAAGGTCAAACAGTCGATCCCGGTCTTCCAAAGAAGCTGCTGCTTTCCATTCTTCTGCGTGCCGTCTATGGAGATCAGGATCACGGGCAGGCCATGTGGCGCAATCGAAATTTTCTATGTCATCCAGACGAAGGTAACAAAGACCGCAAAAGAAAGTTGACGAGTGTGATCCAAGTCCAACGACCTGACGGGCTGCCAAGATGTCGCAAACAACGGGTATGAGTGCTGCACGGAAAAGCCGTCCAAAACGGTACTTCCATGTACGAGAGAATCGGATGCCAGGTGCCCAGAGGACGAGAAGGTCATCGACGACAAGGCGAAGAAAATGATTGATCTGCTCCATGGATGGCTTCGATGGTCCTGGGATTATGCCGACGAGATACATGTTCTGCGGGAGATATCGCAACTCCGGGGGGAAGTTGAGACAGTACATATATATAGCAGTGCTGGTCACTTTCTGCTTGGCCGTTTTCGACTGGTACGGGTTGAAACCGTCGATAGCCAGAGCGAATATCAGCCGTGTTTCGTCGGGTGGAACATCGACGAATAGGCGCTCCCCATCTGGTCCCAGAAATGTTCGCAGGATCTCCCCATCGCAAAAGTCGCGAGCGGTGCGCCGTTCGGCCAAAAGCGCAGCCAGGTCCGGCATTCTCATGATGTCTTCGACTCCCTCTCTGGAGACAAGGCGCCCTAGCCACTGGGGTAAAGGCTGGTGCAGATAGTCCCGCATCGAGAAACGGAATTCCTTCCCCCTGATCGTGCGAATCCGTGTGAGGGGGGCGCCACAAGGGGCGCTGGACGAGCACTGGAGTTGGATGCAGTTTACGGGACAGCTTGTCACAGGGTAGAGCGCGAAGCAAGCCATGCAGCATACATAGGGCTCCAGAGTCGGCTCGAGATTGTACCTGCGTAGGATGGTACGGGGATCGCGCGAAATGTCTTTGACGAGGGATTTGTCTTGCTCGTTGAGGCCCCCCGGATGGCGAGCATACTTCAGAGTAGCCGAAATGACCACGCGAAGACCGGCCAGTAGCAGAGCAGAGGATCGACGGGGAACACCCTCCAACAAGTGCATGACGAGCGTGACTAATGAGGCGGCGTGAACGACTGCCTCCCGAGGAGCCCATACGTTAAAGGGGGATTTGAAGAATTGATCTGACGCAAGATCACATGTTAGTGGACACTGATAGCTTCACGAGATCTTGTACTCGACATACCAGTCTGCACTTCATTCAATTGCTCAACAGAGGCGGTAACATGTTCCTGACGTTGTCGATCCCAGTCTTGCCTTTTCAGGTTTTCAAGCTGAGCAAGGTCACGGCGCACATCCTCGAGAAGCGATTGTCGCAGTGTTTCAATGTCAGACGAAGGAAAATAGAGCTTGGCTGAGAGGACTCCGAGGGCTTGAACCAACGTATTCTCGTGATCGAGGACTAGACGATTGCCCATGTCTTCTGGATGTAGAGCGTTCGGGCCGATATTCGCGGTGACGACCCCGTCGAAAGTGCGACCTTGAAAGCCGGCCTGTGACTTCGGGTCGTGGACAAAGACGAGAGATTGATTGACGAGCGGAAATCGAAGGCGCGAGAGACGAAGGGCTCTAGATAAATCGCGTAGTGTCTCAAGATCTTCCACAACTGCAGCAACGGCGTCATCGCTCGCGGCAGGATCCGCAACCTCGGGGACGAGGTCACTGGTATGCACCGTCGCTGGAAGCGTCCCCTCCCGATGAACTCCATGAGAGGCGGTGCTATGGGAATCATTCAAAACGAGTTCCACAACGGCTTTCTCAATATGAGAAACTAGGTCCTGCTCTCCTAGAACTTCATCGTACAACAGTCTGATGTCTTCGTCCCGTCGTCGCCGCCGTCGAGTCGAGTCGCTGACTGTCTGTTTCTTGTTGGAAGACGGTGCAGAAGTACGAGGGTTCGGATTCATATGGAGTGGATGACAGCTTCTGTGAGAGAGTCAAGGAGGGTTGTACAATAGACCACCCGTCGCGATAGCGTAGACCGCAGCACTAGTGGCCAAGAGGGGGATAGGTTGCACACTGTGTGACAAGGGGAGGTATCAGCCCATCCGTACCAAGGAACGAAAGCACTGCTATTACCGATCCGTGGCGGCCGCGTCCATTGCAGTTCGATGGTTGGATGAGTTTCGGTACAACAAGACTGACAGTTTAGCAGTGATTTATACCGCAACGGGCGGCCACTTGAAGGATCCTCATACAACATCGATTGTGTAAAGACGCCTGAAAACGGAGAATGAGTCCTTGATATCCAATGTTTCAAAGGAGAAGGGACCAATCAACAAAGGAATCGCAAAGTCAAAAGCGCATGTCGCATCTGCCCACGACTGCGGCGGTGTACGTTTCACTATAAAGGAGATACATTGTAGTATGGTCACTGTCAAATTGCCGCGAACTGCATGATCAGCGGACAGGACAACGGATCGGCAGTCTGCGCTACGACCCTCTCGAAGGTGCGAGTACGACGGGCGCAGCACGCGGGTCGAGCGCCGTCAGGACGTCGTGAGGAGTATATAGTCGAGAGCCTGTAGAAAGTCCGAATTGTGTTAGCAAATGCTACGAGGGGCGCCGGAGACGACTGCATACCGTTTGACGATCGTCGTCGTGGTCGTACGCGTGGGGGCGAGAGCGAGAGCGCAAAGGCCAGCGCCCTCGGGGGACTCGGAGACGCGCCGGGAGCTCCCACGAGCACACGTGCGTGTCTTCCCAATTTGGACTTTCGACTTTCGACTCCCGAGTTCCGAACGGGCGCTTCCTCTACCTCCTTCTGCGCCGCGTGCAGTGGCACACTCTCTCGGCTTTCCACAATCCATCCTCGGCTAGCGCTGCACGCGGCATACACAATCTAGATTGTTTTCTTCACCAGTCTACTACCATTGTCAGCTACAAAGAGACCAATGTGTTTTCCGCGAGCCTGCCATGCCCGGTTTGTGTTTTAAAAGGTGTCCAGTGGTCACCGATGGCGGTAACTCAGCCGATAGCGTCAAGTGGCGGTACTGTTCGGTCCTAGTACTCTACCTTTGGGAGAAAAAATGTAAGAGTCAGCCTGCTATCCTTACTGCGTACACAAGAGTGACCGATGTATTTAGTTGGGCTATTGGTCAGGGACAGTCCTTGCCCTCTATGCGGCTACCTGGGGCGCTTTGCAATATCTGCTATCATTGACGACAGGGCTATATTCTCTACCGATGAGGTGATTATCCACGCATCTTGGTCTCAACGTTATTCTCATTCGTCCATAGCGAACACATACCGTTACCTGGACGTCAGCAAACGAAGCCGGTCAAGTGCATGTTCGATTCTGTCTGGACGAAGAATTCTGTTGCTTGGTCCACGACATATACGACGCCAAGATGCAAATAGCCATTCAAGACAAGCAGCGAGAGGATCTGCAGATGGAGGATGCCCGAGTTCGCTTTGATACCTATCTTCTGCAGGGTACAAGCGACTCGATTCCCATCGATCGGATTCACGCCGGCTTCCCCTGTAGCACAGACATGTGCTCGGATATGCCTTGCTGGTGCAAGGATGACAACGCGGAGTAGGGACACCTCGCGAACGAGCTGTAGGACCTAATAAGTAGTCGATGTGCAGTATTGTAGTCAATCACGATGTCTAGCAGTCGTCGCCACGCTCCGTGCAGTGCGCTACGACACTTTGAGCTTAAAACATCAGACAGGCAACCTTACAGACAGCGCATGTAATAGAATGCTGCGGCACTAGTGAGCATATCGGAAGACAGCGAGAGCGCGCACAATGCGCCCAAGCCCGGCACAGGAGGCCCTGTCTCGCTATCGGAGGCACTATGCTGAGCGTGAACGCTCTAATTCGCCTCCTCAAGTCTCCTCCCATGAGACGTGCTTCGCTTAGCCTTGTTCACCGCCTATCATGATGCATGATGGCCAGGATGTTGATGAAGATGGACATGGGCTGTCAATGCCTGCAAGCTCTTTGTCGACGGAGGCTCCTTTATGAGCCTGAAGTTGAGTCTAGACGTTTGCGAAAGCGACGCCATGGTTAGTGATACACGCGACAGAAACAGAAGATTACACCGAGAAAGAATCAGTCGCGCCAAGTTCCAAGTTGTCTTGAATAATGCACTGCGAGGGAACCGGCGTCGTCGTGTAGGCCGCGACGTGCTCGCCCTGCACGGGCTGTATCAATCTAAACATGAGGGGCTCCGTGAGTACGTATTTCAGAGTGCATATCCGTGGGGTAAATGCATGCACATAGTAAAGCGAATGGTCGTCTAGAATCTCGATTTCGCTGCTCTGCAACCACTCGTTTTCGTCGCCTGTCTGTACTACCGTGCGGTCCAGTACCTCATAAGCATGTTGATTCCAAGACACGATATGAGCCTTTTGACTCACCCTTACTACATAACCCAATGAGGCATTACATCATGCAAACTTCGCCGCAGGAGGGAAGTCCGTCGGCTTGATCGGCGGTAGCGGCTCACAACCCGGGCGCAGACGACGACCACATGGGCATAAACTGACTCATGCTCATAGCCATGCCGTGTCGCAAACCCCCACGAAGGGCAGCATTGTGAGGAATGCAGTGGATGTTAGTTCCCGGGGAGCACGTTGTAAGCCTGGCGCGATGTACTGCTTGAACCGGGACCGGTCAGCTTGAAAGTGAAGGGGAGCCTCTAAGGACTCACATTGCATATACAATTGTTAATGCTGCATATCGTGCATATCTCGGTGAATCTATTCGATCACAAATGCTACTCCTACCAATGGTAACTGATGGGCCAGCGCCGGGCAATAAGCGCCGAGTCAAGCCCTGTCCACGATGACCGGTCTGATCCGTCACCCCTTAAATCCATGCACACTGTAATCACCGCACGTAAATCATGTAGCAAAATCTAGTGGGGGTTTGCAACGCTGGCTTATGATGTTGAGCAAGGTCAGCGGTCAGGAGATGGCTTGGCGGAACGCGCGCCGCGAGGTTGGCGATGTGCTGTGACATCTGAAGAACGCGAGCCGTGAGCGATGAGCATCGTGGACAGGTATGACGACCACGTACCTCGCAGCCAGGCCATCGCGAACCCGTTCACCGTGCCGAAAATTCGCGTCTACGCATCTAGTCCACACCCGGGGCCTCGCTGCTTGACTCCGGGATCGTGTTAGCGGAACGATGCGATTCCAACTACGCATATCAGCCCTGGCGACGTGTGGGCGTTCACCATCGTGTCTGCGGCAGCCTGTCAAACGGCATAGGGCTGTGGGGTTGATGGCCGCAGCAAGGTAGTGCACCCCTTGTACAGAAAAGTGGACATGTCGACATGTACATGGGTGCTGGACTCCCGCAGCGGCGTGTCGTGGTGTGCGTGCGGCGAGAGGGCGCTGTGTCCGAGGGGCGCCGTCAGCGAAGGAGATGACCGCTCTGGAGGGCGACGTGACTTGCCTAGGTTCCTACAAGCGGAGCACTTGTCAATTGTCGAGATGGCCTTTTTGAGTGGAAGGACACGGCAGACTCTGGAGGGGATGGCGAACCGTGGTGTGCAGTTCTGTCTCATAAGCCCACGCGAAGACTCGAACATCCCGTGAAGATCGACCTACTTTCACTCATGAGTTCCCCAGGACGAGCTGTTCTTCATGTCGAAGGGCGCGCGTGCAACTTGGCATGAGTACCGCCAGTGCACCTGCGAAAATGGTCGATGTGTGAGCATGTGACACGAGGAATAGAGGGCAGCGTACCTGCAAAGGGCGATGGAGGAGACCTCTGCGAGACGGCGAGAATGGCGGGAGCGGCGTGAGCGCACAGACTAGAGAATGTGAGCTTGATGGCGCAAGTGCTGGAATATGCGGCGATATGCAGTCGCGCCGACATAGGCGCCCGACAGCTCGCCGTCCTGCCACGACGTCGCGGCGAATCAACGGAATTGGCGACGGGGAGGTCTACTCCTGCGGTTGCCGAGTTTTAGGGCGGCAGGACGGGGGATGGTGTTGCTACGCACGGAGTCGTAATTCTTGTTGGATTCGTACCCATGAAAATAGCCGAGACGTGTCGCATTTTGCCCTCGGATCGCGCCAAAGGGTGGGGACTCGGAGCGTTTGTGGCCTAGCGCATGGTTCGTTACGTTCCATTTTGGGAGAAAGGTAATGAGGCGCGCGTGCGCGAAGTCGAATTCTCCCGGCGGACGTCGCAGCGTCGAGCGTAGCAAGGCTTGGCTTCGGCAACTTCGTCGGCGAAGAGGCCTATCCTGGGACGGGCCTGCATCCATTAGAAACGTCACCCCGTGTGCAGCGGAGTGTGCCTGTAAACCAACACGTCTCTGGGACGCGAGACGGGGACGGGGCATGTCGAACTCAACTGAGCCTTGAAATCGACTCGAATACTTTCTCCTCGGATCGCGACGACATGCGTGGACGTAAGCGCCCTGGTGCATGGACACTGCCGTTCCGTTTGAGCGGCACGCGGCGCTCCACGCGAAGTCGAGTTCACCGGTGGGGTCACCAGAGAACAGTACAGTTCACATGCTTCCGGATGTGTGAACGCGCACGCGATGTGCACCCAGAACAGGCTTCTGGCAGGCATGAAGGGAGGCGGCGGAGCGTGAGGTGCGCGGAGAGGGGCGCTCGGCGATGACCCGCCACGACGCGGGCCTGCGCCGACGCCGTCGGACGCCCTTCTGGATGACGGAGGTCCGTAGCGGACGGCCACGGCGGTGTACTGGGTAAATTGGGTGGTGATACTGCGTGGGATGGAGACGGCGCGACCTGACATGGCAGGACATAGACAGACATGAATTCTTCTCCGATAGCACCGCTACGCGCAGGTGTATGTGCATTGGTTCTTGCGACCCGGGCAGCATGTTTGCAAGCGTGTCAAGTGACACCTGGAGCACAGAGTCCGGACCAGAGTATGGGGCCGCGCCCGTCGCATGACGTCGCGTGGGTGTTGGCCGGCGGCGTCGACGTCTTTGCAGGTCGATCCTGTCTTTACAATGTCGTGTGCAAACGCTGGAGAAGACCTGCGCGATGCAGCGGGTTCTAAGCTTTTATGTGCGCGTGTGGCCTGTGATCACAAAGTTTTCAGCGTAGTTCGTGTCGATACCACCCTACCGCCCCTCCAATCGTGTTCCACAGTTCGGCTGAATCTGAACTTCGTACTGTGGGAGTGGGCTGCGGCCGTCTGGAGCTAATAGCTCACGAGTCCTGAGTCAACTAGTAGTAGTCCGCACCTCAGGCAACTCCAACGTATCCATAATTGTGAGCGGCTCTCCCGGTCAAACTTTGGAAGGGGTTTATCGTTGTCTAAACCATCTCCTAACGACCTGACAGAACAACCTTACCCCTCCTGGCGACCCGCCCTTAGCCTAGTAGTAGCCGTCACGACATCCCGTTGATAAAGAGAGGGACGAAGTGACTACCTGCATTGATAGTCAGTTACATCCATCAACAGCATGGCCTTTGGGTACCTAGGCCAGAAACACCGACCGCGCGGCACGCGGAACGGGAAACACTAGTATCCAAGAGGCAGATCCTTCACTTATGGGGAGACGAGGAAAAGGGAAACACCACAGTCGGGAGAATTCGAAGGAAAACACCACAGCGTCGAGTTGCACGTAACTTTCGGCGTCGCCAGGGCCCAGCGCTCAGCGCTCAGCGCTCACCCACCAATCACGGGTCACCCCGACAACTCTTTCAAGCTCCGTCTCAGAAAACGTGTACATTTATAACAAAAGCCTTATTTGGCCGTGTCGGCACCATTTGCGCGGATCTGTTCATGATAGAACCAACCCCTTCGTAACGTCTTCCCTTCAACATCTGGCTACCGAGGTGTGCGATATACGCAAATCCGCACTGTTGCTCATCGACTCACCAGCTAGCCTCTATAGCACTCTGCATCTCAACCTCGCACCTCGCACATTCACTTCTTCATCTCTCAAAATGGCGGCTGTCCCCGCCGTTGATCTTACGTTCCCTTGTGGACAGTGCGTATCATTGCCTTCACAACCACACGTTTGGGATTGCTCACCCTCACAGCAGCGTCCACCAGTTGATTTTAGCTACACGGGAGGTCTTGTTGCCGGGCGGAGAAGAGTCGAGGGAGCCTATCCTTCTATTTCAGGACCAGGGCTGCGAGCAGGCCGCGGCTTGGGTAACCGGTACGCACCTTCTGGCTATCGCGGCTCTTCACTAATCCTGAGCGTCGTGGGTGTATAAATGATGCAGGCCTTCTTGCGGTTGTTAACGCTCAAGTGCAAGGCTTGCATGAAGACAGCGCCGGCCGTCAACATCGCCTCTGGTGCGAGCTCCAGACAGCTCTCAGCTTCGTTTGCGAGTTCGGCCGCCTTCTGCGCGACACAGAAGCGAAGCGTGTGCAGCTCGAGAGGGAGTTGACATCATTCCGTCGTGAATGCGACTGCTTGACACATCCCGAACAACTGAATCATCGGGCTCTCAACCCCACCTAGTGCCTTCTTGTATCGCTATCCCCGTTCTGCCATCGTCGTTTTGCTGTCATTGTTTTGCTGTCGTCATTTTGCTATCGTCTTCCTGCTGTCGTCGTGTGCAACTTCTAATATCGCTTTCCCTTCTGCTTCGAATCAATCGCTTTCGTGACCGGTACGATGTACGATCAAGAGCGCGAAGGGAAAGTGACTTTGTCTCGCAAGCACTCGCTAAGGCCGCGGCTAACATCCGTACGGGTGTACCTGCCTGCACCTCTCAGCCCCATAACTCAAAAGGTTCTCGGAGACTTTGCGGCTGACGATTGCATCGAATCCGTTACCTGCAAGTGATAGACCCCTCTCTGTCGAAGTGTGAGTGCCACGGCGCTCATTGACACGCAGCTCTTCTGCATATGCAGAGGGTTCGATGGCTACCAGAGGTCAACGTTGGGCGCATATCGAGAATTCGAGTCGGAGCCCACACGCGAGGGACAGTGAGCGCTCGGCGAGACATTCATCAGACATAGGCGTCATACAGTACATCGCGCGAGCACACAGTCTGACCGGTCTGACCGCCCGATCCTTTCCAACAACATGACGCCGAAAGAAGCTCAGATGTAGCAGTTGTTATCAAAGTTGACCTCGAATGCTCGGTTTCTCGATCGACTTGCACCTGGGGTACTTGCATGAAGCAATTCTATTACACGAATATACACGTATATAACGGCCTTGAAACGACCTAAAGATTGAGAATGCAGTACTCATGGACCATGCGGCAGAGGTTAGGATTGAATGAGAATGTTCACGACGTCTAAGCCGAGCTCCTCCACCCATGGAGGTAGTCAGACATTGTATTCAATCCATTGGTGATCTTGTTTCGCAGCTGTTAAATATGATCAGCAGCCGCTGCAGAGTAATTGATGTTTATCTGACCTCGCAAATGCTACGAATGTTCTCGCCGAGGGAATGGCATGTCAAGAGCGTTGCGCTGAGATCGGAGACCTCAAAGTCGTCCAGAGGTGTGCGAACAAGTGGCTGAGCAGATCTGATAGCTTCGATCTCCATCTAAGGGCAGGGTGAGCGTGCGTGCGTGGCCCAACATACGCATAACTTACGCAAAACGCATTGAGCACAATATTCTGCTGAGTGAGCAGAGATCGTACGTCGGCATGGAGGGTGTCGTAGTCACCGAGCATATCAACTCGGTCCTCCATAGTCACCGCATCCAGGTTGCGACTCCAGGTTGTGATCACGAGGAAGGCGTTGACAGCAGAGCATTCCTCGATCTCCTTGCACTCGTGCATGATGTCTTGAACTGCGGTGACGATATCTGCCAGTCTCTGCCTGACGGCCTCCCGTTCAAACCCCAGTGGTGCGCTTGCGTCGAGCATGGGCTGCAGATCAGTCTACAACACATATAGTCAGCGTCGCGGGAACAAGTAAAGCATGGGCGCGGCAAACATACCCATGGGAGGCACAGTAACTCGAAGCGAGGTCGTATATCCTCATATGTGGTGGCAATGCTCTTCTCCATGATTTCGCAAGAGGACAAGCCGGTCTCCAATACGTACAATTGTTCGCGGAGCTTGTCGCGTTCATTATCAGACATCCGGGGCTCGTCGATTTCAAGCAATTCCAGGATCTGTGATATTTGCATCAAGGAAACCATACGGTCCGGAGGAAACTGGAGGGTGAACTCACCTCTGAGACTTGACGGCGGAGATCGGGCATCGACCGTGTTATGATGTCCAAGCTGTCGTCGAGGTCGATGCTGGTCTGGAAATCGCGTGCTGCCATAGCGGCAATGTGGAGTTGACGCAGAGCCATCAAGCGACGACCCCTTTGAGCTTTCAGAACCAGCGCCATCAGGCGTGAAAGCCAGAGGCTTGAGTCCTCTGCTCTCAAACGAAATTCTTGGAAGAACCTAGCGCGGGAGGGATTGGCGGGGGTTTTGGACCATCAATCTGACGCACTCACCGGAGTCGTTTGGCACACATCTCTTCTATACATTTGTATATTGCCTTGTGAGTCTCTTCAACGTGACTAAACTGGGCAACGATGACAGGGTCATCGAAGTCAACGGACCCAGTGCCCCTCGAATCGGCTGGGGTCGCAGCATTGGTATCAGGCATACCAACAGCAGGATTGACAAAGGTACTGTCCGGCAAGCCGGAGGGCAGGGCGGCGTCTGAAGTGTTGGATGGATGCAGTGACATAGGGCGATGTTTTGAGGGGGATGTCGTAGACTTGGAGGAGCACCTATGTCATATGTTGATATCGGCTGGGCCTGGCATATATAGGGACGACGAATAAGGTCACTGCCAATACACCAACAAAGGGCCTATGGACGCACGAGTTACACATTTTCCATGGCAGGGCGCCGCGAAATCCGACGATGTCATTGTCAAGACGTTTGTGGCATCGTTGGTTCAGTCGTAGTGCACAATGAATAGATCCGGCGCGTCCTGTGTGGTTGCCAATGAGCTTCCGTGTTACGCTAAATAGAGTTACGAGCTGAGTATTCAATCGCTCTTTCTCTCCCGATGATGAGGGAATCCGGCGGACAAGGGAAGCACAGGCACATTGGTTTGCAATGTGGTGCTGATTGGCACCGGCAGAGGCCTCTGCCGGCTTCAGATTTTGGTACCGCGCCCGAGCATAATCCAAGCTTTCCAACATGGCGGCTCGCGCGGCGGCTCGCGCGGAGCGGCACTTTTGGTCTTGTCAAGAGTGAAGAGACGCTATCGGCGGGGGGTACTACATTATGACCGAGACACGCGCTTACGCGCCGCGTTTTTGCGGGTTGAGATCCGTGTGAATCGGGAGCAGGGGGGGTCCACGTACGTTGTGCTTTGTTTAGTTGTCGATGCGGCGCCGCGTTCCTCCCATACACGCTGCGCCTGCAGCTGGGCGTCCAGAGCTTGCCCCGCCGCCCCAACGTGCTCAGTGAACCACCGCTGTCCTCGAATATCCCGGTCGATTTGTCCCGGTATTCGGGCACCGTTGTGGCCGAGGCCGCCGCTGGCGCTTATTTGCGTGCATGTAGACTTCGGCGCCTCACGCCACCGCTCGCGCCCTCCCCGCCTCGCGCGACTTCGCGCGCGTCGTCGTGTGCATATCATCATCGCGTGCGCGTTTGTGGCGCCGTAGAGTACCCCAATCGAGAGATATCATATTTATTGTACATATCTACATAGAGAGGGAGTGAAGAATAGAGGCTACACACAGCTCTTAAAACAGCAATATCCGTGTGCAGTTGTAGGCTTCGGCTGTCCTGGCCCCGTTTTATTTGGCGGTGACGCCTTCGGTCCGACAGCTTCTTAATGCGAGCCTCGTCGACGTCGACGTCGTCGATCGAGCTGGCCTCAAAGTCGACCATTGGGTGCTCCCATTCAGGAGGCCTGCGCAAGGTGCCCGGCGATGACGATGGTCCCGCCAACTGATACATGGCTACATAGTCGTTGAACGCGTCCTCCTCCTCCTCCGTCGGTGCATCCACATCGTAAGCACCGTCCACCCACCCCTCCCATTCACTCCCTGTTCCCGCAGACGCCCGTTTTGCAGTCGGCTGGCAGGCCTTCAAGCACACCCGCGCCATCAGCTGGCGGATGCGCGCCTGCTTCAACGCGTACGCCCGCAGCCCCTCTTGGACATAGGGGTCTTGGGAGCACTCCTGGGCCGCGCCGGCGCGTGCCTGCCACCTGTTGCTCTCGTAGCGGTAGGTGGCGAGGACGCCACGCATCTCCTCCGGGAGGAGCCTCACCTCCTCCTCCCAGCACATCTTGCGGGCGCGGCTCTTGAGCCACTCAATGCGGAGACTATCGATGAGCTTCTCCGAGCCCCCGACGTCCGCCGCGCGCCAGATCCAAGAGATCTTCCGGCGACCCTCTGCTGGCCCGGCCTTGTCCCCGCGCTTGCGCTTGCGCTTCTCCACCGCACGAGGATCGTCGTCCTGGATGCCCCGGATGTCGTCGTCCTCCAGAACCTTCAGTTCGGCCTCCCATGGCCCCGCGCCGGAGAGCGCCAGCTTTGCGCGACACGCGCGCCGGTACTTCTTCGCGGCGCGGGCTTTACGGACCTCCTGTTGCGAAATCCCGGTCCGCGCACGAGTGTTGGGACCCTGATTGCGCACGTTGAGCTTCTTGTAGTGGTAGAGCTGGTCGATTGTGTGTAGCTTGTTCCGTAGGTCTTGTAAGGCGTCCCGGCATTGTGCCTCGCGAAGTCAATCCTCCAGCTCAATGAGCCGCGCGCTGCAGACCGCGTCGCGAGGGGATGCGCTGATCTCCGAAGGGAGTCCGATGCGGATGCGCTCCACTTGTTGTACCTCCGTGCAGCACACCGGGTCCTCCGCGAGTACAGGGGCAACGGCCGGCATGTAGATTGACTGGAGTTCGCGAAACTTTTGAATCTTGCACCGGAGCGACGTTCGCCTTTCGTGTATTTCGGAGAGCTTGCTAGGAACCGCACCCTTGACGTCCTCGAGAAGCCGCGCCCTGACACACAATGAGCATTGGAATGGCCATTGAACGCAGCGCGGACTTACTGTGTTGCCTCCACCTCGAGACCGAGGTTGACGAAGCCGAGCAGAGAGACATTGTGCAGCGCAACAAAGCCGGGCTTCGCGCTCACCACTTGCTCCTCCTCGGAAAGCACGCGCACGGTCTCAGCCTCAGTCATCCCTAGCGCGCGGTAAGCTCCCGTTCATGCGGCGTACAGCAGGCCACGTACCTTGGGAGATGACGATGTAGGGGTCGTCGCAGCTGCCAGGGTCGGCCTCCCACACTTGGACCTCCGCCTCCCATAACACAACATGCCCCTCCTGCAACTGGTCCGTGAGCGCCTTGAACACGATCTTCTGTTCGCGAAGTTCTTCAATGGCTTCCTTGAGGCGGGTGGCTAGCGTTCGGCCTGGTACGCCAGTGAGAGACTGGGTGGAGGCACGAGTGCGGGCGAGGCCACTCACCGAGCTCAACCATCTTCCTCCAGTTAGAATAACTCCACTGGTCCTCGAGAACCCCTTGACGCATTCCAGGGCCCATCATCTTTGTGCTGTTTGCGATGGGTTGAATCCACCACCACCGCCGCTCGATGCCCTCGCCATTGGTACGTGCGCAGCCGATCCGGAAGTTCAAGGAGAACTTCGAGTGTCCAACTTGCTGGTGGCTGGCGTAATGGAGTTTCGGGATGGCGTACATGATCGAACCCTCCGGGACGGGGGTTTGGATGTGGGAGGGGAGGTTTGCGATCCGCTCCAGGATGTTCTTCAACCACTGGCAGGCAATGTCGTAGCTCACGAGCTTGTTGAGGACGAGGTATTCGCGCATAGCGCAGACGAAAATGTAGTCTGTATTGATGTACCTACGCGCGATCAGTGCATGCTTACGAGGGCAAGAAGGGAGTACAAACTTCTCGCCCTTCTGCGTATCGCCGGCGCCGAGTGCCAGCCAGAACTCGTGGCGCGCGCACACTATCGCCAGCACGCCCGTCGCAGCGTAGCCTTTGGAGAACTTGTTATTGGCGTGGTCGATTGCAGAGAGACCGGTGCATGTCGACATCTGTCAAAAGTCGTCAGTTAGCGAACACCCCGATCGGGGAAGCGACGGCGCGACGCACCTCCTCCTGGTCTCCATACCCACGTAACACCTCCTGATACCCCGTATCCTCGACGAAATACCCCCACCCACTGCCCAAGATGGGATCCTTGTCGGTGTTGGAGACCGCGCGGCGCTTAAGCCGGAAGCAGGTGTCGATGGCGACGGTCATCATGTAGAGATACCTGAGAAGAAGGTCAGCGAAATGAAGACGTGCAAGTATCGGGACTTACTTCAAGTCGTCCGACACGGTATCCCAGTTCGGAGGGAGGTTGATGCCCACGTGGGGACAGGCGGGACATTTCACCGCTAGCTCTCCAGGCTGAGTGTTTGCAACGCCTTCTGGGTCGTGCCCGCGCCCGCACCGCTTCAGGCGTTTGAGATAGCGCCATTGGGCGACGACGCGCATGAACACCGTGTATCGGTCTTGAATTCTCGAGGTGCCGGTGTTGTCGGTGAGGCGCTCGAGCGACGTGTAATAGTCGTACATCGATATCTTGCCCTGGAGACTCTTGGATGTGGTAGTGCTCGAGGAGCTCGAAGGTGAAGACGGTGTTGGGATCGACATCGGTCGCTGGATAGAGCCGATGGTGGAGTAGCTGCTCCACCGCGTCGCCGGCGTCCCCAGCTTGATCACAGTCTCAGAATGCGATGGAGACGGCGTGTCGACCGTTGACGTGGACCACAGAGAAGTCGGAGCGGGCGAACCTTGGCGTTGAACAGGCGCAGCCGTCGCTTTCGTGCCCAAGGCGCACGACGAGGCCGAGCTCCCTGAGAGAGGTTACCACGAACGTGCCGCCATCCCAGCGCTGAGGGTGATGTGAGTTTTACTACAAACAACGCAGCAACGGCGTCCTCACCTGAACGCGATGGTACGGGTTATGCTCGTGGCAACGGACAGCGCAGTCCGGACAGCACAGAGGCATCGGGGAGCAGTCCCGGCAGCGGATGACCGCCTCGCCCGGGGACTTACCCTCCGGGCAAGACTTGCACACGTCGCGCGCGTAGCCGCCGCACCCGTCTTGACGCAGGAGCTCCCGCAGGTATTTCTCCTGCTTTGGCACCCAGGCATTCATCGGCTCATCCTGCTGGCGCATGAGTACCGGGGTATGTGAGTCTCGCAGCCACGGCACAAGGACGCACCGATGACATATAGCGCATCGCGCGCTCTTCTTGCTCAGCCTCCTGTCCTTGGGAGTCACCTTTGCCAGTCGCCGAGTTTCCGTCCAGGCCAGCCGGAGTGAAGAAGGGGTCCTCGGCGTCGAAGAGCCCTGGCCGCAGAGACGGGTCGAGCGAGGGCGCATCAAGAAGGGTGTCCGGAAGGAGGGGGGCGCAGTGCAGCTCGGTGGACGAGGGAAGAGGCACGGATTGTCGGTGCAGTCGACGAAGATCTTCCGAGACTTTGTCAGAGGTGAGATTGTCGGGTGGCAGGGGAGAGTCGTCGAGTGCGAGGTCAAAGTCCGTGATGAGAGACTCGTCGGCCACCAGCTGCTTGCGCTGACGCCTTCCTCTGGCCATGTCGAACGGAGAATAGAATGATAATAAATAAGCTTTAGACTGCAAGCACGAGAAGGGAAGCGAAGAGAAGGGAAGGCGATCTGCGAGAAGGTGAACGGGAGGGTCCGCTGGCAGGGCCTCGCACACGCCCGACGCGAGGAGTCACACCTGTCACGCAACGCGACTGTGGCTGAGTTTGGCCACCCAATCTGTTTCAGGCGCGTTTGTTTGTCTCCCGCCTCCATCTCTGTACATATAACCCTCGGCTCATGCCCGACCACGTCCCCGCCCCCTCAGCGCCCACCATTCCTCGCCGCCCTCTACACCCTGCTCAACTCAAATCATTGCCATGTCTAGGATATACTGTAAGTCTTCCCCTTAGCCCCTCTCGCGGACGCGGACGCCTATCGTGGCTTCGACCTTGGAACCCGGAACGCGCCCACCATCCGCGACGGGCCTCTGATCTCTTAAACCCCTACTAACTACGTACATCCCAACCCTAGGTCCGACAGCGTCTTTCGCCGGCGCATTTCGCAAGGTGCGTTGAGCCCTCTTACGTCAATCCGCAGGCGCCTCCAACTCACCCGGCACAGACTCGCTCTGGCGCAGTGTTCTCGCCCTGGGTCAGCAGTATCGGGGTTCCCCTGCACGCTCCGAGCGACTTCGAGCTCGCCACAGTCATCAGCCTCACGGCTCAATCACAACTCATCGCCGAGACCGAGGGTGGCGAAGACGAAGACGAACTGCCGCTGGTCGAGGACGGGGACGAGGACGGGGATGATGACTGCGACGGCCGAGCCAAGCACGCACTCCCTCCGAGCCACATCTCCTCTCCCATCCCCCCTGCTGCCGCGAGTGCCTCCGCCGCCCCGCCTAGTACTGCAAAGGAGCAATCTAAGGATGCGTATCACGGAAAGCAGCGCTCAAAGGCTCGCAGGCGGGCTGCGCGATCGAAGGCGCGCGCGCAGGTTCTTGGTGAGCCTGCCTCCAATCGCCCCTTGAAGGCCGTCGCACGCAAACGACGCGCCGCCGCCCTCGTCCTCAAGTCCGCCGCCGCTACCGAATATGACATCGCTGCCGCCATCGCGTCCGACGACTCTCGCATCACATCCGCTGGCGCCCAGCCCATCTCAACCGCGTTCTCGCTCGAGATGGGCGACATCCCCGTTGCGAAGACCGGGTTCGTCGGGAAGCGTCTCTGTCAGAAGCCCGAAGACGCCGTCGCCTGGACCAAGGACGCGCTGGTGAAGGAGAAGGGCTTCGAGCTGGTGGAGTGGGATGGAGAGTACGTACCCGCGCTGACTACCGGCGTCGACGCGCGCTGACGGCTTCAATTAGACAGTGTCGCCCCATCCTGGATAAGCACAACAGGGTATTTGGCGTCCTTGCCGGGCATCCTTGCGACCCTACCTGGGCAGAGGTGAATAGGGAGATGATACGGGTTCTTGAGGCGGGCCGGGATGCGTACAACACGGCGCCGAAGCAGGAGAATCATCGCAGAGGCAACTTCGCCGCCGTCTCTTGCGGGATATCTTATGGCGGCGGGCAGAAGGTAAGTCGCCGCCGCGTCGCGCACAGGGCCTCCTCCCAGTCTGACAGCCCACGATGGCTAGCACGTAAGCAACATCAAGCATTCAAAATCCAATCTTGCCGTGCTGGAGAGTATGCTGCAGCAGAAGGCCGTCCGCCGCGTCGCCAACTTTGGCAACGGTAAGTGCAACGGCGTTGGCGGGTAGCCTCGCGGCAGCTAACGTTAGGCACAGGCGTGTTGCGCCTCTTCGCCCCACGCATGCACGAATATTACGACATTACGTTGGCCACTCTGTGCGGCCGCGATCCGAAACTGCGACGCAACTTCCACAACTCGGTGTTCAGCTGTGCCACCTTCAACTTGGGCCCGCGCACGGTAACGCACGTTCACACTGACCACCTGAATCTTCCCTCCGGCTGGTGCAGCATCACCGCGCTCGGAGACTACGACCCCACCGCCGGGGGCCATCTGATCCTCTGGGATCTCCGCATGGTCATCGAGTTCCCCCCCGGCTCGACGATCCTCATACCATCAGCAATCCTTCAACATTCTAACACGGCGATTTCAGATAATGAGTACAGATACTCGTTCACTCAGTACACTCCAGGGGGACTTTTTAGATGGGTTGCATGCGGGTTTCGATCGGTGAAGGAGGCAGGGATATCCGTGAAGGAGCTGAACCGATTGGGTTCAGAGCGTTGGGCGCAGGGGTTGAGTATGTTTAGTACCTGGCCAGAGCTATGTGCAGAAGCCCCGTAGACCACATAAACTACCTCACGCCTGTGCAAGTGCGACCCCATTCTGAATGAATACATGGACTGATGGAAATATATTGCGTGTGGTTCATGGAAGACAGCAATGGGGGAAAACCTTCAGTACCGCTGGACTTGCAGCTGTGCAGACCCATGCAGCTGCACCTGCATCTGAGCGCTAGTTTTTAAGACTGTCTTAAATCCGCCTGGTTCAAATCACTGGCGCCAGACTTACGACATTGCTCCTGTTCTTCTGCAAGTTGCCAGCACGTCCCCTTCCCCGGAGTACCAAAGCCGCTCCCGCGCCGCACTTCCCGCCACATCGCGCGTCTAATAAATCCGCCGTTTCCCGACATTCGATGG